CGGGTGGGGGGCGCCGCTGGGTGGGAGCTGGCCCGCGGCGCGGGGGACCTGGGTGTCTGGCCGGCCCGTCTGGCTCCGGGACCGCGCCCCGAGGACAGGGCGGAGATGGGGGCGAGCCCGAGGGACTCAGCTCCTCGTCTTTGTGGAGGGCTGAGCCCCGCTTTTCCCTGGGGCCCTTTAAGGCTCGTGGCGTCTCCCTCCCTGCCAGGAGCCGCTTCTCTGCGCGCTCCCACTTGCATTAAGCTAAGTGCCTTCTGCTCTTGTGGTTTTTTGCTTTTTTCTCTCCAACTTGCTTTCAGCTCCCTCCTGCCGCCGCTTGCAGCCAGCCCTGCCCCCAGCACTATTCACTATTAGCTTTCTCTGGTCTGCCCACTCCAGTCTCCCCAGCTCTCTCTTCAGGCTGACATTTCCCTCAATTTAGAAATGACGCCGCTGATGGACGATTTATATAGTTGCCCGTCCTGACTCAGATGCTCCTCCTTTGTTTCGCTGCTTTCTGTGTTGCCGCCCCCCTCCCAGTGGAAGGGGGGTTTACACAGGTTTCATGCTTCCCGAGAAGGAATCAGCCCCCGCCGAGGGCATCTTACTGTACTGGCGGAGTGTCAGGCTGTTGTGGTGTGGAGGAAAAGGGGGTCCTCCGTGGGAAGACTGTCTGTGCCCGTAGCGCCCAGGAAAGAGACTGTGATGTCTTAACTTCTCTTGAGAGCGCTGTGGAGACGTGGGGTACCAGTCGCTGGGTGCTGCGTACCAGTGATGAGAAACCAAGGCGCCCTCAGTCCTGGCCAGCGGCTGTGGAGCACATAGCTCCCCGCAGAACTGTCCTGTTAAGAAGGTGCTTCTGTTCCTGCCAGGCCGCTCTCAGCCTGTCTTGACAGCTGAGATTATACACCGAAGTCAAAACTGCGCGCTCAGCCTCTCTTGCTGTCATCTGGGAGAAGAACTGTCCTCTTCGTAAGTCCTCTGCCCTCCTGAATGTGTCAGGATGGAGGACGTCATGCAGGGTGAAGTGAGACTATAAAATGGTTGTGGCCACTGATTGGTTTTGAAACCTTCCGAATTAGGTAACAAGACCTGGAGAATAATGTTAGCTTCTACAGCAGAAACCCAGCGTTCTCAAGGTCTCTCACTCTTCGGATCCTCTCTTCCCCCAGCCTAAGTGCTCCATCCCTAGCTTTCCTTCTCAAGTGACAGTTTCCCCGCCTTCTGAACCCCCACTTAACTCATAAAAGCTTTGCTAGACCACCTCATCCATCCCCGGACCATTTGCAGCCTCCTTGCTCTGACTTTGCAGCCCTCCGCCCGCCTGCTCCTTCCTTCCATTTGACTTCCCGTGTCAGTATCAATTCCGTCAGCAGAGACAAAGGAGCTGCTACACTCAGCCTTGTTGATCCAATTTTCCTCTGTCATGAGGACGTGGCTGCCTCCTAAAGGCAAGCGAATGTGAGTCGGGTCGGTTCCCTCCTCGCCAGCACGAGATTCCTGCCCACCTCAAATTACAGTCATTACCGCTCATTGAAGCCAGCCAGGCTGGCTGTGGTGTCACTGCCCTGTTGTGGTGGTGTGTCTTTTGCAGTTGCTGGGAAGAGGCTAAACCCTGTCTAAGTGGTCTCATGTGTCTGCTTAGCACAAGCCCCCTTAGATTCCAGAGCAGGGCTTGCTGATGTAGCTCAAGTTAGGGAAGCAAGAGACTTCCTCAGCCAGCTTCTGGTGCCTGGGTCTCCCTCTCATAGAGTGTACCCAGCTTATGGAGTCCAGCCCCCTTCGTCTGTAGCAGAGGAATCGGAGGTCCACGAGGGTGGACAGTGTCCACATTTATGTGACTCGCAGCCAGATGAGATCTTTTTTACTCCCAAGTTAAATCAAGACGTCCCAGACACCTTCACGGGCACTTTGGAGACCGTAGGAGAGAACTCGCCTCCGCCCTGTTTCTTTATAAATGGGAGCTGGAATAATTGGGTTGAACACCAGGGCTGAATGTGCCTTAGAGACCCTGAGGGAGAATGAGATCGTCCTGTAGAACACTGTGTAGCGCCACATCAGTGTCACTCCTGGCTGTGCAGCCCCCAGCTTTAACACACTTAGGTGTGAGCGCTCCGTTCAGATTTTACATCGACTCTTTGGAGTTCGAAAAGGATTTTTCTTCCATCATCTGATGGTAAGAGAATGAGGATGGACATTTGCATATGACGATGCTCACGAAAAAGCAGATTCCTGGGAGATGAAGGTGTTCTCAGATGTGTCCTCTGGACCGTGAAGTCAGCACCAGCACAAGCTGCCTGAACACCCAGTTGGAAGAGGTGACCTGGCATACAGGAGGAAGCCCCGCTCGCCTCGGAAGCTCGCAGCTGCTTTTCCACCTCTTTGTTGTACACCTTGGTATCGCTCGCCACTGGAGCTTCCCTTTCCCCTAGTTGTCTTGGAGATTGTGTAATGTCACTCCATGAAAGACTTCCCTGTTGGTTTGGGTTTTTCTTGTGACTGAATAGAACTTCATTGTGTAAATACACTGCAGTTTGCTAAGTACTTTAATCGTTCCCCAGACCTTGTTGAACATTCTGCCTATTCGTAAAACCCGGCGTCTACTCAGAGCCGTGAGTGTGAGGGGAGACAGTGTGTGGCAGCCTGGGGGCGGGGGGCGCTGAGAGGCCCAAGGTGCACGTTAGTTTCGTCCCTGCTAGTGGCTTACCCTGGCATCTGGTAAGGCTCGGGAGGAGACGTGCGCTCTTGGTAGTGCTTCTGTCGCAGGGAGCCTTCCCAGTGCAGGGGCTCGGAGTCCTGTGGGGCAGACAGAGCTGCAGAGGCAGGGCCGGGTGCCCCGAGCCTTACAGAGCAGCAGGTGGCGAGGGAGAGGGCACGCTCAGCACCCACCCCCGCGCCCGACCCGTACACGCCTGCTGATTGTGTCCCCGCAGCCTGGGGGAGCAGTACTACAAGGACGCCATGGAGCAGTGCCACAGCTACAACGCCCGCCTCTGCGCCGAGCGCAGCGTGCGCCTGCCGTTCCTGGACTCGCAGACGGGGGTGGCCCAGAGCAACTGCTACATCTGGATGGAGAAGCGGCACCGGGGTCCAGGTAAGGGTCCAGGCGCAGGAGCACGGGAGGAAGTGGCCTTGCCTTAGTGATGAGCCTGGTGAGAGTCTCCCTGCTGCTGTCCACGCTTCAGTGGACATGGGCATCTTGTAATTAGAAGCCCAGAGGCACCTCCCTGGGTTGTCTCAGCCACTGCGACCTGAGTTCGATCCCAGCCAGGGAGCCGACCCACAGGGTACAGCAGACCAGTCCTCTGTCACCCGCTGCCCCCTCAACAGTGGATTTTGGTCTGTCTGCCTGTTCTGTTCCTCACTCTGTCTTGTGAATCCTCTCATCCCTCGCACCTCTGGCCTTACACCCCAGTACTTGTATGTATAAATAAATTTAAAAAAAATAAATCTTAAAAAAAAAAGATACCAGAGAGGATGAAGTAGACAGATTCACACCAGTATCTTTGTTTTCTGCCCTGCTGAGGCTGTGAGCTGTGTACTAACCTAGCCCCTATTTCTGCAAGCTCTCCCCCTTGTCTTGTTATCCACAGCCTCCTCCACCACCCCCTCCTTTTCCAACTCAGGAGGAATCTACTCATCTCAAAAGTGCTGCATAGTTGCTTCCAGTGCTAGGGTAGAGTGGATTGAGTTTCCTCTCTCTTCCTCCCACAGGATTGGCTTCAGGGCAGCTATACTCTTACCCTGCCCGTCGCTGGCGAAAAAAACGGCGCGCCCACCCCCCTGAGGACCCAAGACTGTCCTTTCCATCTATTAAGCCAGGTACAGCACAGTCCTGCCCAAGCTGTGGGTGGCCTGGTGAGCGGTAAGAGGTCACCTGTGGTATGCCAGGTTCCTGCTAGCTCCGCAGATAGAACGAGTGATAAGGCACGATTCCTCCCTGTCAAGTACGTGGTCTAGTAGGGAAGACTGGTAAACGTTACACCAGGTCGTCTGCAGCTGCTGCCTGTGGCTGGCCTAGCACTGACTAGACAGACCCAGAGCAGTCTCTTCAGTCCTGCTGAGCTTCGTCTCATCCTGACCTTCCCTGCAGACACAGACCAGACTCTGAAGAAGGAGGGGCTGATCTCTCAGGACGGCAGTAGTTTGGAGGCCCTATTACGCACCGACCCCCTGGAGAAGCGAGGCGCCCCGGATCCCCGAGTTGATGATGACAGTCTAGGCGAGTTTCCTGTGACTAACAGTCGCGCAAGGAAGGTACCAGATTAACAGACTGAGGAGCTTTGATGGAAACCAGCCTCCTTTTCACCAGAGACCACCTGGGAGAGAGGCAGGGGAGGAAGGAGGCCAGGAGGCCGACTGTGGGGGTTCTGCCTGCTCGTTCCTAGCTCACGCCGGGCACTGGCTGCTGCGTGCCGGTCTTTCCGGCTTCTCCCAAGTACACACTCATGCACTCATCTCTTGTCAGAAAGTCATTAGGTGCCTGGGGTTGTTATACATGTGAAGCAGACCTGGCCTCTGCCAACAGAAAGGATAAAATTGTACATGAAAGTAGTAAAGACCGAATAACGGGCCAGGCGCTGCGCCAGACGCTTGCCTGCATTCTCCCAGGGTGTACAGCCTTAGGAGGTTAGGTGCTGCAGGCCCCATTTCAATTACAGAGCACTTTTCCAAGCTTCCCACAGGGCCACACAGTAAGCAGCTAGGCTCTGACTTAGGAGTGAGGTGTCAGTGGGTGTGGAGACTTGGGGTATCAGGAAAACTTTCTGAAAGTGTGGAATTTGATTTGGTCACTTAGAAATGGAGGGAAAGGCACCCCAGGTCAGGGGGACGAGAAGAGGTGCAGAGGAAGGGAGCCCAAAGCATTGACGGGAGCAGCGTGGGATTCCTGGGTGCTTGAGGCTGGAGTGGGTGGCCCAGCTCCCAGAGAGCCTCTGGGGCCTCTTGCTGGTCCCAGCCTGGGGGGCTCTGTGTGTGCATGATTTCTGCCCATCCTAATCACCCTGTCCACTCAGCGGATCCTAGAACCGGATGATTTCCTAGATGACCTCGACGATGAGGATTATGAAGAAGACACTCCTAAGCGTCGGGGCAAGGGGAAATCCAAGGTGAGGGTCAGGGTGCTGCCCACAAGCGCAGAGGAGACCAGTGCAGCTCTGCCGTTTCACTGCTATTGCTGCCATTTTCCCTGTCCGCTGAGTCTGCCACTTCAGGAGACTGTCGTTCCTCAGGCCTAGGCCTCTGGTGAGGCATCTTGTTGCTCTCCTTGGCAGGGTAAAGGTGTGGGCAGTGCCCGTAAGAAGCTGGATGCTTCCATCCTGGAGGACCGGGACAAGCCCTATGCCTGTGACAGTGAGTGCCTCACCATTGGGTGGGTAGTCCTCGCCTGGACCCCGCCTGCTGGCGATGAGAGGAGGGAGGGCTGTGTTCTTGCTCAGAGGGCCAGCGAGGCCAGGCCCCGGCCTGCCTGCTGGCTGGCTTCCCCGAAGACTCCTGGGTGGCCCTGGCTGCATCTCAGGATGGGTGGGCCTGCATGCTCTGCGGGAGATGTCTGCTGCCCTTGGGTGGGGGTTCAGCAGAGACACTGCTGGCCCCAGACTACCAGGGCCCCAGGAGTCCACTGCCGAGTGTCTCGATGTTGTTCCTGCCCTTTCCTCTGACTCACCCACTTCTGTCCCTCCACTCTGGGGGTGCCACGGCCACCGGGGTTTCTCTCTCGCTCGCTCCGCTTTCCTGCTGCTGCTGCTCCGTCTCGGCTGTGTCAAGGCTTCTTCTCATGACTTTTCTTTCTGTCTTTCAGATAGTTTCAAACAAAAGCATACCTCGAAAGCGCCCCAGAGAGGTAGCTCTCGCAACTTTTCAGCCTTTTGGTTTTCCTGTCCCCTTTCCCTCCCTCGCTCCTCCTGCCTCTCTGTCTCCTGTGAAGCTAGCTTTAAAGTCTCGAATGGCACTGGGTCAGAGCAGGGGCCACTGTGTGCTCCACCCCTCACGGCCGGAAGCTGCCTTTTCCACTGCTGATTCCCACAGACTTGCTCCTGGCTCCTGAGGCTGCTGGGGCCCACTGCATGGGGTGGCCTCGGACGCATTATAAGGAGTCCATTGCAGAACCCTCTCCCCCAAACAGATACTTGTGGTCAGCTAATGTTCCCCACCGTCCCTCACCTCCCTGTCCTCTCACCCTAGTCCTCTCCTGCTGGCCCCTTGCTCTTCTTGGTATCACGTTTACAAGCTGCCTCGTGGGGTTCTGCTCTCCTTGCTGGTTGGTGAGGGTTGGGCCAGGCACTGATGCAGGAGTGTCTTTGATTTTCTTTTGGGGAGCTAGCTACCCGGCTGACTCGGTAGGTTATCCCTAAGCGTTCCAGTCCCCCCATCTCTATCCATATTCAGCAGAGATGGCTCTGTGGTGCGTATGGGGTAGCAGGAGCCTTCACATTTACTGAGAGGGGAAAGGTTTGGGGTCTTCCTTCCCTTCTCAATCTGGAGCTCCCCAGACTCTTCCCAGAGCAGGTGCTTGAGGATAGGGTGCGGCCTCTCACCGCTGGCGTGGGAGAGGAGAGGTGGTCCTGGGGGTGAGCAGCGAGCAGGGCCAGGGAGAGTGGCGGCCCAGGGTCTGAGGCTCTTGACCTATCCCAGAGAGCACTTACTGGGTTGGGGTGGTTGCTTCCACCGCAGGTGGAACCCTGCAACTTGGAGCTACAGGATATGACACTCAAAGATCCTAACGTTTCTCTCTGCAACCTTCTCCCCCTCAGTCTGTGGAAAACGTTACAAGAACCGGCCCGGCCTCAGTTACCACTATGCCCACTCCCACTTGGCTGAGGAGGAGGGCGAGGACAAGGAAGACTCACAGCCACCCACGCCAGTCTCTCAGAGGTCCGAGGAGCAGAAATGTAAGCCAAGGTGCTGGGGGCCGGGCCACTCCGGGTGTGGGGGCCCCGAGGCCCACTGTCAAAGTGCTTCTCCTCCCTGTAGCCAAGAAGGGCCCTGATGGGTTGGCCCTGCCCAACAACTACTGTGACTTCTGCCTGGGCGACTCAAAGATCAACAAGAAGACAGGGCAGCCCGAGGAGCTGGTGTCCTGCTCGGACTGTGGCCGCTCAGGTACTGCCCCTCCTGCCAGGCTGCCCCACTGGGGACTGGCTCCCCAGGCCACAGCCGGTCCGCCAGGCCCCTGGCTGTGCCCGTCTGACGGTCTGTCCCACCGGCCCCTCCCCCAGGGCACCCGTCCTGTCTCCAGTTCACTCCCGTGATGATGGCGGCTGTGAAGACCTACCGCTGGCAGTGCATCGAGTGCAAGTGCTGCAACATCTGCGGCACCTCCGAGAACGACGTGCGTGCCCCCCGCCCCCCGCTTCTGCTCTTGTCTCCACAGCTCCCCCAAAGTGAGCTTGCTCTTCAGAGGGAACCAGCCCCTCCCACACACCCTTCTGGTCCCACTGGAACTCTGGCGGCCGGAGTCACTGAGCAGGACTGGGCCAGGCCCGTTCTGGTTCTTGGGACACTGAGCGAGATGCCAAGGGCCCTGTTTTCATGGTGTTGACATACTTGGGACAAGCAGTACGTGGGGAAACGAGGGGCCTTTCTTCATGTGCCGCAGAGAAGACGAGCAGGCACGTGGCAGAGTGTGAGTGGGTAGCTGACGAGGGTGTCAGAGGCGACTTTTCCTGAGGAGGTGATGTTGGTGTTGGGTGGTAGAAAGGGGCAGGGCCAGAAAGTGGGGATGGGGCGCGTCCCCAAGAAGGAGGTGGCACACGCAGGGGTCTCGAGGCGGATGTGCGGAGTCCTGAGGCCAGTAGGCGGGCCGGAGCACCCTGCAGTGAGTGGTTGGAGAGGGAACCTAGGGCTCTGTGCTGAGTACCCCGGGATGCTGCTGGGGGGTCTCCTCAGGAGTGATGTGCTCTGTCTTACATTTGAGAAAGATAGTTGGCTGCTCTGTGGAGGATAGATTGGAGGGGCAGGAGTGGAGGCCTAGGCAGCAGCGGGAGCACCGCCGCGGCCCGGTGGCATGGACGGCGGTGCTTTTCTTCCTGGCGGAGTCCATGTCTGCTCTCTCCTGGCCCCTTGGAAGGAGCAGCAGTGTCTGCAGACGCCTCTAGCCGGCCCACCGCCGTTGGCCTGACTGGCCCATGAGTCCCCCTTCATCTCGCTTCTCCAGGACCAGCTGCTCTTCTGTGACGACTGCGATCGTGGCTACCACATGTACTGTCTCACCCCGTCCATGTCTGAGCCTCCGGAAGGTAAGTGGCTCGCACCCCTTACTCCAGGAATTCTGAGTGGCTCGTGGAGTGCCACCAAGTACAGTAGATCAGTCCTCTCTCTAGTGGTTTATTCTTCCAGGTTAGGGCACATGCGCTTAGCCTTGACTGTGGAATGCTCTCGTAGCATTTCGTCCTCGGGAGTTGAACGTGCACACTATCACTGGTCTCGCATCCACACACACAGGCAACCAGAGGGCACAGGCGCTGAGCAGATGCCCCGGCAGGTGACGTGGAGCCTCACTGTCGGCTCTCTGAACTTGGCCAGGTTTAGTGTCCTCCCCCTGCGCTAGAAGGGAGTTGGCTCACTCACCCCCCACTCTTGGCCACCACAGCCTGTGCCCCTCCGGCAGTTTGCCTAAGGGCGCGCCGGCCTCGGGGGCCTTTCAGCAAAGCCAGTGGTGCCGCCAAAGTGGCTGTCTGCTGCAAGTCCTCTGGCCATATTTCCATGCCAGAGCCCCTCTGTGGAAATGTGGGGGGCTTGTGGATGCACAGAGCACGTGGGTCAGCCTGACTCACCAGAGAAAGTGCTCCCTGCTGTAAGCTGACGGCAGTGCAGGCTGCCCGCTGACATCCTGCAGAGAAAGCGGCCTCGGGCCTCAAGTAACGGTTCACAGATGGAATTGTCTTCACTGTGGAAGGGCCTTCCCGCTGCAGTACTGTTGCGCCCCGAGGTGTGGCGTTTCGGAGCTGTGGGGCCCTGGCAGCCCTCAGATGGTCTAGACATGGGTCAGCAAACTGACCAAAGGGCCAAGTCCAGCTGCAGCCAGTTAAGAGAACCCAGAAGACAATCAGTGATTTTTTTTGCATATGTTTCAAGGGAGTTTGAAAAGATGTCACCGAGACTAGAGGTGGGTCCTGGCCTGAAGTGTTGCTGTTCACAGAACAGCTTCTGATGCCCGCCTGTGGGCCTTGGGGACTGAAAGGACCTTTCACGTGGTCACGTCACATTTCTGAGAAACAGAAGCTGTGGATTCTTTCCCCTGGAATAACATCCAAATACACATGATTGTGCTTAGCTGTCAGAGCATTAAGGGCTAAGAGAAGCCCAAAAAATTCTAACCATATTAGTGTATTAACCATAATAAACAAGGTGTAAGGTAGTTTTCTTGTCAGGGACATTATTTCCTGCTCTTCTTCTTTTATGAAACTAAATTCAGTTCACCCCTTTTCCTCTGATGTGGTCCCTTGCCTTTGCTCAAGCCCCACTGGCAGGAGCCCCTCTCTGGGGTAGGTGGGAAGCTCAAAGTTGGCATCTTTAGGGTGTCTATTCAGCACCTTTATTGTACCCCCGGGAGAACAGTCGGCGCCTGTGATCTCAAGCCTGAAACAAACCACTGTTGTGTTCTGAAGCAGCTCTGGGCCGCGAGTCCTCCCATCGCTGCTGAGAACTGTGGTCACCCCAGAACCTCCCAGCTCAGGATAACCCTGAAACCTTGCTGCTGTGGGACATCCATGCACTGATCCTGCCCCTTGGGGCGAGGGGTGGAAATGCAGAGGAGCAGATGAGGGCGGTGTGGGATCTGTCCTCACCCAGTGTGCTTCTCCGCAGGAAGTTGGAGCTGCCACTTGTGTCTGGACCTGCTGAAGGAGAAAGCTTCCATCTACCAGAACCAGAACAACTCTTGATGTGGCCACCGCTTCCCGTACACCTAGGGCCGTCTCTCCTCCTGTCTTGTTTTTCATGCCCAACCCAACTTCCTCCTCCTCCTCTTCCTCCTGTCTTTCACAAGTCCAGAGAACCTTGGGGTGGTCGTGCCAACCTGCCTTTGGCGGCAGCAAGCTGGGGTGACAGCTCTGACCGCCTCGGGCCCCGGGCCCTCAGGGAGAACGGAGCAGCACACGGCCCCAAGGCTGACCTGCGGGCTGCTTCTCACTGCTCTCGTGAAGTGCATTCACTCTGCCTGCCTTGGGCCCCGGCCCTGGTGATCACAGGGTTCAGTGTTGTCTCAGAAAGGCGGGGGCACAGCTCACTTCTCCCAGCTCTGCCTGCTCTGTGGCCTCCAGGGTTTGCCCTTCCCCAGGGAGCCTGGCCGGGGCCTCTGCTGGGAGCCGCTGGGAGTGAGCGCTGAGTGGGCTGTGGCTGTGCTTGCGGGAGCTGCCCTTGCCCTTCGTGCTGCTGCTTGCTTGGCCTTGCCCCTCCTCCGGTGGCTCCGCCTCCTGCTCCTGCTCCCCAGGACCCTCTGCCTGAGCTGCCCTCTGGCTCTACCCTCCCTGACCACCCCAGCCCATGGGCAGGGGCAGCTTCATCCCAACTTCTCCTTAGGCTCACCTGCGCATTGCCACAGGTGGTCTCTAGCAACCGAAGCATTCCCCACCCTTGGGATTTCCTGTCTTCTGCTCCCCTTCCTATTCCCTTTGGTTTTGTGGGGACAGCAGAAGCATCAGGGGGCCAGGCCAGCTGGGGGCCACAGGGAGACGTTGGATAATGTGCCTGTTTTTTAACTCGATGAAAAAGCCTACCTCCGAAATCCCCTTTTTGTTCTTCCTGGACCTGGGCACTCAGCTCCTGCCCTTAACTGAATTGGAGTCTCTGCCTCCTGCTCTGTGTTTCTGGCTCCTGGCTCACGGGGGAGCCACTTGACACCCCTTTCTTCCCTTGCACGCTCGCTAGCAGCTGGTAAGGTCGTTACACCCTGACTCCTGTTCTCTGCCTGGTGACACGCTGAGTAGGGGGCAGCCTCGCCTGGACACCTGGAGTGGCCTTCCTCGTGGCTGTGGGCGGGCCTGATTCACTGTTGCTTTGGAGTTGAGGTCTCTCTCTTTCTTTAGCTCCTGTACTCTAAACATTAGTACAAATAAATGTTTTTACACAGAGCCCTTTGTTGGGTGGTTTCTCTCCTGACTCCCTTTCCTGCTTTAAAAAGCCACTTTTTTTTTTACATGTCTGTTTTTAATTAACTACTTTTTTATTAAATATAACTGATGTATATGTTTAAACAACAAACATCAGTGTAAGAGAGATACAATGGTATTTCTATAAATACATCTTAACCCAAATGACAACCTGGTCAGTTTTCAAGAACACATTATTTTTAAGTCATTAAGACATCTGCAGCTATGGTTTCACTTGCTTAACTACTACATCAATCTAACAAAACACAGTCAAAATACTATGGTGCTTTCTAGAAATGGAAATCTGACCTACCCTTTGAAACTTTTCTCTGTCCTCTTTTTTTATAACAGTTTATTTTTACATCATTTTGTACATTTTTTTTTCCATGTCAATTGTCATCCCCGCGGGTTTCTCATCACCGAGTCACCCGTGTGCCATCACCATAATCCCGTGCACACCTCACCCCCCCCCCCCCGTTTTTGATCCCATTCCCCACTCCACCCCCACAAAATGTCTCTGGTATATGGTTGTTCATTATTTTTGTTATTTTCTCGCCTGGTCCATTATACTCCTGCTGTGAGCGAACCATCCGGTATTTTTCTTTCTCTTTCTGGTAAAAAGCCACTTTTTTAAAGTTATTTAGTTATATAAGAACTGGGGTAAAGGTGAGAGGTGATGGGTGAGAGGGAGGATTCACCAGAGACCAAGTGGGGAGCAGAACAGGGGGTCTACTGAAGCACTGCTACGGGGGCATCAGGGAGACAGGAGAGTCTGCTGCCATGCGGGTCCCTCCCTGTCTGGGGATGCAGTGGCTGGTGGTGACAGCTTCATAGTGCTGAGACTTAGGCCTACCCTACCAGGGAGGGCCCTAAAAAACCACTAATAAGTTAGCTTCCTATGGAAAAAAAGGGAGGTGTTTTTTTTTTTTAAAGATTTATTTATTTGTGCATACAAAGCTGGGGAACAGGCCAGAGGTGCAGGGGCGGTGAGAGGATTCACCAGAGACAGAGTGGGGAGCAGAACTGGCTGACAAAGTCAACTGCTGAGGGGAGCAGCAGGCAGGTCAGGAGAGGTCTGCTGTGCCATGTTATCACCTCTGGAGCAGGGATTGAACTCATGCGGAAGAGGCTTTAGCGTCTCAGTGCTGTGCTTTAACTCGCTACACCACCAGGGAGGGCCTGAAGGTGGTTTTTGTTGAGGGGGATGGGGAGATTGGTTTTGAAATACACTTTTTCCCAAAATTAACTTTTTTGCTGAACCCCAAGTTGTAAAACAAAAAGTCAGGTGTTTTGTCAGTTTTAAGTTCTTATGTAAATTCAAGTTACATCGGTTTCTTGTTGTAAAGGAAAAAGTTGTTTTGATTAATACCTTTGGGTTAAAATCATAATTGGCATCCTGTTTTGATTGTTTTGAAAAAATCGGGCTAGGCGTGAATATATAGGTGCAGTGACAGATCTGTAACGACTTTGCAATTTCAGATACTTAAAATGGGTCCAGGGACCTCCCTAGTGCCACAACAGGTTAAAGCACAGCACTACGCAGCTACCCATAGTCACTGCAGCATGAGCTCGATCCCCAGCCAGGGAGTGTCCCCCAGGGCACCGCAGACCTGTCTCTCGGCTGCTCCCCTCAGCAGTGTATTTCAGTGGATCCACCTGTTCTGCTCCCCACTTTGTCTCTGGTGAGTCCTCTCACCACCCACCACCTCTGGCCTACATCTCAGTTCTTGCATGCATAAATAAATCTGTTTTTTAAAATGTGTCCAGAAGCTTGAGTCGGTGTACAGAGAAGTACTAACGACACCAGAAAACTGATGACATAGCTGTGGTTCATTTGAAAGCTTTTTGCTGGGAATGGATACGGCTGCACGGCCTCACCCCAGACCCGCCCCAGGTTTGCCTGCTTGCTTGCCGCAGCTCTGCAAGCTCCGAGCTCCAAGGGGTGACCGGGAGGGAGATGTACCTCTCTGGAGTGTGTTCTGCTGTTGTTAAAACTTTTTCTTAGAGACTACTGTCCTTGGGGTTTTCCAGAACAGCCCGAAAGTCACAATTGCTGGGTGTCTAGCCTGGGCTGTGCCTAAGCAGGATGCCCGGGCTGGGGGTTGTTGGAAGAGCACATACCTGTCCTCGTGTTTAAACACAGAAAGAGGCCAGGAGTAGCGGGAATAGGCTTCATCCTTGGTGGTTGAGTAATCTAAGGGCCAGAGAAGAAATGTGGGAAATGAGGACACTAGCAGGCATAAGTGAGGAAATTGGGGGGGTAGGGGGAGCGGCTTGCAGGAGCTGGGAACGGACTGAGGGTGGAAAAGAGGATCCGCCCGAGGTGGAGAAGGAAATGTCTGAGAAAGGCAGAGGTAGGGACCAGCCCTGCGCCCGCCCGTCTTCCACCCGGCTGCAGGGGAGGAGGAAGCGAGCGGCGCTGGGCTGCGGGTAAGATGTCTGCTTTGAACTGCGAAGAACAAGCCCAGGCAGGACCGAAGAGGGTGATAGCAGACCTTGAGTTTAGGAACTTGAATCTTGCCAGCAGACGCCAGAATTAGTAAAAATGAGCCCTAGCCCAGGCCAGTTCCTCGGGTCAGTCGGGTGGACGGCGGCCGGCGCTGTCCATGGTAGCGACTTTGGGGCGGCTCCAACTTGGCTGGCGTTTTCCCGTCGTTTTCTCGAACCACTCGGTGCGGGGTATCACCCTGTCAGGTGGTGGCGAGGCTCGCGCCGCC